CCCCAAACTGGGGATAGAGCTTGCAACCCGGGCATGTGCCCTGACCGGGAATTGAACCGTGACCTCCTGGTTTATAGGTCGACACTCAACCACTGAGCCACGCCAGTTGAGCAGGGAAGCCTTTCTTGATTCTCATGACTAGTTTATAATCCAACCCTTCTCCTTCATAACAGTTGTCACAATTGTAATTCAGTAACTAAGTTATAGTAATTTATTTAATGCTTAGTTTCCCCCAAACAGACTGTAAGCTCTAAGAGAGCAAGGCTCTTAGGTGTCTTGCCACTGCTCTGTCCCTCATAGTTACCACAGTGACTGGCAGGCAGTGATGCTTAATCAATGATTTTGAATTGGTTTATAAATGAATAAATTGTGTTCTTACAAAATTGTATCTGGGCAGATGTGCATCAGTAAATAGAACACTAGATTAATTTGCTGCAATTTGAGGGCAGAAAGTAAATGCACACTTAATTAAAATAGTAAAATGCTATTGAATTCTAGTTAAATTCTACTACCTGCTTAGACCTGAACTCGAGGCCTAAGCCATTTGTTACAAAGAGATGGTTAGCAAATGTTAGAAGGGCATTAAAGACTAGTCCTAAGATGAGGCTTTCTCCATGATGTAATCAAGGGAGTGGAGGAGAAATGAGGAACTTTCTTATTGTGCAACTCCGTGTTCTTCATTTTGTGTTTGGATACCCCCGGCTTTGGGAAACTGTTCACAAAGGAAGTGGGATGTCTGCGAAGAATCAAAAGGAAGGAAGAACCAACCCGTTTTCTGCTCCAGAACTGGTGGAGAGGTTTTGGTGAGAGGTTCTTACTTGCATTTCTTTCTTTTGATTTTCAATGAAGACAGCAGTCTAGTAAATACAGTTGTATTCCCTCCTCTACAGAAGATTAGAAGGAAGTTCTAAAGTGAATATGAGAGGGGAAAGTAGAAAAGTAAGAATGCATCTTATCATCCTATTAATATTAAAAAATAATTCAGCTGGTCAAACCGAAGTAATGTTTGTAGTCTGGTTATTGTGCCACTGTCAATTTTCTACTTATAATGTATTATAATTATATTAGAGGCCCAGTGCACGACATTTGTGCACTGGGGGTAGGGGGTGGTGTGTCCCTCAGCTCAGCCTGCACCCTCTCACAGTCCAGGAGCTCTCATGGATGTCCCAAAGCCGGCAGTTGGACATCCTTAAAGCTGCCACTGAGACAAGAGAGGCTTCTGCTACCACTGCACTCGCCAACTGTCAACCTGGCTTCTGGCTGAGAGGCGCGCCCGCTGTGGCAGTGCACTGACCACCAGGGGGCAGCTTCTGCATTGAATGTCTGCCCCCTGGTCTTCAGTGTGCATCATAGCAACCGGTTGTTCTGCTGTTTGGTCTATTTACATATTGCCCTTTTATTATATAGGATAATGCATTATAAATGTTATCATTGAGGAAAGATTGGGGAAAGGTGCAAGGGACATCTCTGTACCATTTTTGCAACTTCTCGTGAGTCTGTAATTATTTTGAAATAATAAGTAAAAAGAAAAAGAAACCAGTAAAATATATGTATAACCAAAGCCTTATAAATATATCCTTACTCTGAAACACCACTCCTAGAAATTTATACTAATTAACAGATATACAGCCAAGTATGTTCCTCATATGATTACTT